TGGCATGTATCTGTCTAGGGCCTTTCCTGTAGGCAAAAGATCCCTCACCTTTCCATTCCCAGGGTCTGGCTCAGGGTCTGGTGGTAGCTTGTTTTCAGCAAGGACCAGATGTGCACCTTCTGCACATCTAACACCTCTAAATAAGCAGGATTATACAACCCATGGCATCTGACAATCATAATGGCAGCAGTGATTTCTTCTAATCCATCAGTAGGTATCTTGTGTGTGATATAAGCATGTTAATACTAGCAGATAACACATAGAGACACTTGATGCCATAGCAAAACATATGTGTGCAACACAAGTATGGACTCAGCAGCCCTCATGACAGGAGGGAGCCTAGGGTTGCTCTCCTTAACACCTGAGGAGCACCTGAGTCAAGCCCCTGCTCAAGTTTACATCAAGTCACTGCTCTAGTGCAGCTTAACTGAGAGTCACTTGGGTGAATAGGCCAGTGTGAACAGACAGATGGAACACTGGACAATGGTGTATTAGTTAACGGCTCTGATTCTTGTTTCATTACTGATTTTCTATATGGTCTTTGGGTATACTTGCCCCTTGCCCTCCCTGGGTCTTGGCATTCTCTTTCCAATAGAGATCACCACTTATTCTGGAAGTTTCTGATTTCACATCAAACCCACAGAGAAGAGAAGGCTGAGGTATGAGGGAGGAAGGGTAAGGGAACCCTGAATCAACACTATGATTTAGGAAGTAAGAATCTCTCCCAAGCATTCTCTTCAATGTCTTCCCCAGGCCTAACTTTGCACAGTGTTGCATATAGTGTTGGGTGATTTTATGGGCAATGTTTGCAGTTCAGCCTCCTTCAGGTCTCTGTTGCTCACTATCTTCTTCCTCAAATGCCCACAGATCTGAGACCATGGCTCTAACTTTAAGTCCTTTCTTCTTTCTCTCTGGCTGCACAGGTGGAGGACTTGGAATTTTCTGGGAATGACATCTGCCCCCCTGGGTTCTTCTGTCCCCAAGGGACAAGTTCCCCAGTACCATGTATGCCTGGATTTTACTCCTCTGTCCCAGGCCTGACCAGCCAAGACCAGTGCCAGCCTTGTCCCCCAGGGCACTACTGCAGTCATGCTGGGCTGTCCCATGCCTTGGAAGCAGGGCTCTGCAGTGCAGGGTGAGGGACCCCCAACCCTGAATTCCTGGAAAGTGGTGACCCTAGAAGGGAGGAGGATTCCTAACTCAGGTTTGCCAGGATTCTCAGGTCACACTAATTCTAAAACCCTGGGCTTCCCTTAGTCCCTCTGAGCAACCTGGGGCAAAGTGATGATCTGCCACAGGCATGGCCCTTATATGTGCTATCTAGGAACAGGGAGGAACTGACCCCTCCTGGCCCCTAGCCCTTACCTTCTGGTGTCTGAGGACCACTGATTACCCTACCAGCCCACAATACCAGTCATACCAGAATAGTTTCCCTGCCTTCTGGGGCCCTTACAGACCCATGGCCTTTATGCAGACCACTGGCCAGCATCCTCTGCTGAATAGTAGCTGAGACACCTAACACAACAACATTCTCATTTTCCATAGAACTAAAGAATGTCAGACTGGCCACAGTAACCACAAAATTCTATTCAGGTCCTGTGTAAAGGAAGAACTTCTGCTTAGGGACCCCTGACCACAGAATGTAGAAAGGAGCCATGATTCTCAGAACATGTTGGGCTCTTCCCAGAAGTGTCTTCCTGGCCATACTAATTCCCTGTCATAAAAACCCGTAATGACTCCTAGATTTCAGGCAAGACATGCTTCTCTCACCCCACGGGTAACCTTGATTGTGGCTATACTGGCATTCCCCTCAGCAGAGCTCTGACTGGCCTGAGCTCCAAAGGCAGCTGCTTCCTCTCACCTTCTAATGCCTAGCCAGAACCCAGGTTTATGCCTCAGGAGGTTGGGCCACAGCTCCCCATTTCCTCAGGTATATCTGCCTGGGGGGCAGTCCTGTCCCAGCACCCACTGATGGAACCCATGGATACAGATGTCCTCCTGGCTTCCGCTGTCCTCCAGGAATCCCCCATGAGCTACCCTGTGAGCCTGGTTCCTTCAGCCCCCTGCCTGGAGCTGATACCTGCCTGCCCTGCCCAGGAGGCACCTATTGCCCAAAACCTGCCACTGTGGAGCCTGCCACCTGCCCCAAAGGTAATGACAGTCCTTGGACAGACCTCAGCCCTTGTTTATAGGGAGCAGAGGAATTTTAGCATGACCACAGTGACTAGGCACCCGAGCATTCAATGTTGGTGGCACCACCCCCCTGCTTGATGTTGAGGCCTCAGCACTCCTTGGCAGCCAGCAAACTTCCATGTGGTAGGACTAATCATACTATAAAGAGAACATGTCCAGGAGCCACCCACCTATGGATATCCCCAGGCTGCTTTCACACTATCTGGAGTGGGCAGTATTTGACTGATCCTCAGAAGTGGCTGTCCAGTGAGTGAAGGAAGGAAGAGGAGGGGTATCTAAACAATGGCCCAAGGCCTTTTGTATCTGTGCCCCTTGTTGACTGCAAGTTCCCAGTGTGAACACTTCAACTTCCAGGATGTAAGCAGACACATGTTCTAGAGAGAAGAGAATGGGCAGAGAGGTGGAGCATTGGTCAGTCCCACCATCACATTAAGTGCTGCTGCACCCTGAGTAGCAACAGACGTTCAGAAAGTGAGATCAGTGGACCTGTGGGAGACCCACTTCAGGTCAGGAAAACCTGACACCCACACCACAAAGACTCTACAGCACATCTGCTGTGAAACTCTCTGGTACCTGGTGGCTAGGCTGCCTGTTAGGGTGCTCATAGGGCATCATTTCCAGAGGAAATATGGCAGGTGGCAGGATGAACACATGACTCCACTCTCCATGTCAAGAAATTCACTCTCAGCATTCAAAGTTAGATCACACATGTCACTACTCTTCAGTAATGAGCTCAGATCCTAAGTGCCACAGTTCCTGTATAGACACATACAGGAAAATACAAATGTAGTCACATACATGTCTACATATACAATGCGCTGCACAGCCTTACATACATTTTATGCAACTGATGCACGCATGCACAAACTCAAATATACAAGGTGCACTCGTGCATGTGTACACACACATACTAAGTTGCACAGAGTCACAGAGAAGCACCCTCATCTGTGCATGTGCTCACACACACACGTCCACAGTCTCACAGCTGCCATCACAGACTCCGCCAGAGGGCCCACTCTACTGTCCTAGATTCTGAGCCTTTTCCTCCACCTACCACCTATGTCTTCACCCCCTTCTCAGCACTCCCTCAGGATGGCTCTGATGTCCCTGCCATAAGTGACAGGGGTTGTGGAAGGTAGGAACTTTGGACACTCAGTCGTCACCTGTATTGGTCTTCCCTGCAGGCCACTACTGCCCGACAGGTACAGTCACTGTGCTTCCCTGCCCAGAGGGGACCATGAGCCCACAGGAAGGTGCTCTCTCCCCCACGATCTGCCAGCCATGCCCTGCAGGGAGGTACTGCCCTGGGGAGGGCAATGGACAGCCTGAAGGTAGGTATCTGGTTTCAGCACAGCCAAGTACTGGACCCCAGGTCTCTCCATTTTAGGATCGAGTCACAGGCCTGAGTCTAGCATCCTGCTGTTTCCTTGTTCAAATCTAGCTCTCCCATCCTTGCTGAGAGGCCTCTGCCTCCTGATGGAGCAGGGCTTCTCCTCCCACCTATGCACTTAGTGCAAGTGAAGCTTAGACACACCCTCTGTACTTCAGTGTTTTCCCTATACAATGGGGAGAAAACGGTACCTCCCTCCCCTGGGGTACACAGTCAGCACCTACACCACCACCACTTACTTTTACTCCCTAACCTTTGCAGCCCAGAGCCAAGGCCACTGTAACTGCTCCCTGATTTTCTGCTGCCCTGACTTTTCCCTTCATACTACTTTAATTTACAGATCCTCCCAGATTAGAGATAGCAGGCAGGGGCCAAATATGGGCATTCCCCAGTGTAGAGGGGGTTCAAATGAAAGTTGGAAATGTTACTGGTGCTGCCCTAAAATTCTGTCTTTTTACATCTAAGGACCCTGCTTGCCTGGTTACTACTGTGCAGGGGGGGCTGGCAGTCCCACCCCCCAGAAAAACCCTGATTTCCCCCTCAACGGCCCTTGCCCTGTTGGTCACTACTGCCCACAGGGAACTCTATACCCTGTGCCTTGTCCCATGGGGACAGTGAGAAGCAGCCCAGGTGAGAATCTGACCGGTGCCTCCCCTTCCTAAATGTGGGACCCTCTTCCTTCAAGCCCCCAACTCCAGCCAGGGAGTGCACACAAATAGTACAATAGTATGCTGATGGTCAGGGCCCCCAATTCCCACTCAGTGGACACAAGTCCTGGTCACAGACTTGTGCCTAGGTATTATGTGAAGGCTCCTGAGTCCCAGGACAGAGCCCATTACTCCACCCTGAAGTCTGGTCTAAGGCAGGGTCTTTGCCAGCAATGCCAGGCTGTGCTTTGGCCAAGCTGAGGCTGAGATACCCCGAGGGAGTCCCTGAGGGAGGCTTGGCTAGTCACCATTTCATCAATAGAGTGTGCCAGCTCCCTTCCAGGCCTCAAATAAGGCAGTGAACTGAGCAGGGGAGGAGGTGCTATCCTTAGGGGGTGCTACTTCCCCATGAAAACATACAGAACTCTTGTATTGTGACCCTCTCCATTCAGGTGGTGTGTCTGAAAGGGACTGTGAGCCTTGCCCAGCTGGCTTCTTCTGCCCTCGTCTGGGCCTTGACATTTGTGTGGCTGGCTCTAGATGCCCCTCGGAACCCAGGGTGGTCTCCATCCCTGTGGCTCACCCCTGTCCACAGGTACTTCCTTGTAAGCTACAGGAGGGAGCCAAGGGCCCATGCTTGAGAATCCTCCGGGAAATTTGTAACAGTAGGCCTCAGTTTTCTCTGAGTACCTCACAGGAAAAATCTCAGCACCTCACTTCCCAGGCCTCAAATGTGCTACCTGATCTCCTGGTCTCCTGGCACTCTAATCATGGGGCCTAAAGTAGCCCAGAAATGGGTCAGCACCCTGCAAACACTCCCACACGCACACATGCATACAGCCCTGAGGCCCAAAAACTTCCAGCTTGTCTCTCAGGGGCTTTTTTTGTGTCCACTGTCCAGGGTCACTTCTGTCAACCAGGCGCTGCTCAGCCTAGTCCGTGTCGACGAGGGGAGTACCAGCCCTCTTTTGGCTTGGACACCTGCTTCCCATGTCCACCTGGCTTTCACTGCCCGTATCCTGGTACTCTGGTGCCCATGCTCTGCCCAGCACATGTCTACTGCCCAACTGGTATGTCTTCAGCACCCCAACCTCTGAAACTTCTTTCTTCCCAAATCCCCCACTCTATTCTTTTCAAATCCATTGATTCACTTACTCCATGGAGTGCCCACTGAGTGACGATAGTGAATAGTGCACTCAAGACCTTCTGTCTCTTTGTATATTTCCATGTGCACACTCTTCCTCCCCACCCCCACCTCATTGCTTTTCTTCTGTTGCTTCACCCATAACTAGTGCTCTGCCTCTTTCCTGCATTCAGCGTGGGTGCCCAGAGGGTGCCAGCCTCAAAGAGGATAGAAGAACTGTGCCAATCTTGGGGACTAGGGAAGGGTTTCTGGAGACTTTAAGAAGGGCTCAGTGGAACCCAGACTGCTGTCTAACAGTGCAACAGTGACAACCACAGCCCCAAAGTCATACACAAACACACATACAGGCACACCAACTGTATACAGTTGCATATACATGTACACATGCTGTCCAGGGGGAGGCTAGCAAATAAATGACCGCAAGAGTCCCTATCTTTGTCACATCTTAAGAAATTGAAGAGAAAGTCCTCCCACTAATTTAGATGTTGCAGCATGTTACCTTTACAAGGGTTTGATGCACAGATGACACATCCATTAATTCTCTAGTGACTATGGTGTGAAAGGTATGAATGTACCTTTGAAATGAGTGCACTCTCATGCCAGAATGCTTAAAACAGCCCATGTTCACACAATATGGCCTGTTGTCCCTGTAAGTACAAGGCATATTAATAACACATACTTACACATGGGAGGAGAATTTCTCTGGAAAGCCTTGTTTTGCATTCCCAAACCCATTGCTTGGCTCTCAGTCACTTGCTCTCCATCTGACCTAATTAAATCAGCTTCTTACTCCCTCTCCTGGACAGAATTTTTTTTCTTTTTCAGTAGATCCTCTGCTCCCTTTAAACCAGTTTCACTACAAAGGACTTCTACTTTCCATTCATGGCATGTATGGTGGCGCACAACCTGCTCCTCACATTATGGCCCAGGAACACAGGAAACAGAGGTGGCACAGCTAGAGGCTGGCCCATGACCAGGGTGAAGCTGTGATGGGCTTGTGGAGTCGAGATGGAGGAGTTAGAGGAGACCTCACAAGCATACTACAGTCACCAGGCAGGGAAAAGGGGCTTAGATGATGGGTTGAGGGGCGCAGCTCCCCAGTGAGAAGCACTGGGCAATGAGGGGAAATGGCTGTAGTGTAATCCAGGAGAGCCACAGGGTCAACTGCATTGTAGGCCCCTTGTAAGTCCACTGGCTAGCCAAGGACCCCTGAGCCAAAACCACTTTGTTGCTGTCTAAAAATCTTCCACCAGAAAGCCACTCTTCTGTAAAGGAACAGTCCTAGGGAGTGAGACTGGATTCATCACAGTCTTGGCTCTTGAGAAATTAACATGAAAGACTCAGCATCATCTAGGGAGCTGATGGGTGGCAGAGCTGGGGACACAGGCATAGATGTGGTGGAACTTAGTTGCCATCCTCACCTCTTGCTCCCACCCCCTCTAGGAACATGGTCCCCTCCTCTGTGTCCTCCGGGTACCTTCACTTCCCAAAATGCCTCGGGCCTCCAAGCAGAGGGCGACTGCTCCATCTGTCCTCCCGGTCACTACTGCAGGTCAGTGATGCTCAGTCATTCAATCACTCATCTCCACCCTCAGCCAGTTCAGCCTCTGGGTTGTGAGGCCAGAGGTCTTCTCCCACCCCCATCAGCACAGAAGGTAGGGAAGCTAAGGGGAAAAGCTGTGATCACAGGCTTAAAAGGCTTCACAGCTACACAGGAGTGAAAAGCCTGATAGTGAAGTAAAAAGAGCAGGACTATTGGCACTGAGCTAGAGTTTTACAAAAAAAATTTTTTTAAAGATTTATTTATTTATTCATACAGAACTGGGGTACAGGCCAGAGGCTCAGGGGTGGTGAGAGGCTTCACAAGAGACAAAGTGGGGAGCAGAAGAGGCAGATCGACGAAGTACACTGCTGAGGGGAGCAGCGGGCGGGTCAGGAGAGGTCTGCCTCGCCATGTGGTCACCTCCGGGGCAGGTGGGAATCGAACTCATACGGAAGTGGCTTCAGCTTCTTAGTGCTGTGCTTTAACCCGCTGAGCCACCAGGGAGGGCCATTACAAAAATTTTTAAAAAAAGAAAGAAAGAAACACTTTCAGACAGATAAAGAGCTCTGCTTAGTCCCTGCCTAAAACCTTGGGAAATGCCTTACAGGTAAAATTCTTTGTGCCTCCCGGTGACAGCAGAGTTCTCACAAACATACCCCAAAAAGAGATGACCAATTGTTCCTTCTACCTTTGTTTCTGAATTGTCTACAATAGGAATAGCTTTTGTAGTCATGTGGGCTGGAAAGAACATAAATTTTCCCTTTAAACAGAATGATCAAAAAGTGGCTTCAGGGCATCCACATTACACCTGACTTTTTTATGCCCACTCAGTGTGCCTGTCACAGGCTTTGTGCCTGGCTTCCTACCTGTGCAGTGGGATCCATCCCCAGGAGCAGCAGAACAACTGAAACAATACTCAGAATTCATGCATGGGTGGGGGGTCTCCAGCATTCCACCTTTCTGGAGGCCTCAGTGTTAGCGCCAGCCACTCAAGGAGGTCCTGAGCCCAACTACTCCAGAGTAGCCAGATCAAATGAAGCCCACAGAGGGTCTCTGGTGCAGGGAAAGCACCAAACATGAGCTGAGCACCCTGCATTCCCTGAGACAGAGCAAGAGCTACCAATAGAACCACATCACATTTCACACACAAGTGAACCTGCTTCAAAGTAGATTTTTTTCTACTTAAAAGACAAGAGCAGGAGATTCCTCAGATCATCCTCTTGAGGATGGGGCTCCCTGTACTTGGGAAGTTCATCCTTAGGTCAAGCCTTTTTCCTCTTGTTAGAGTTAGCGGTCAAGTTGTACCTCTAAGAACTCCAGTGGGCACCAGTAGACTCTAGCTATTCCATGCCAGGCCCCTCCTCATCGCAACAGAGAGTGCACCAGGATCCCCACCTCCTCCAGAGAACTTGACCTGCTGTTGGCAACCCACAGTCCTGCTCTTTACCCACAGTCCTGCTCTTTGTTCACAAACTCAATAGAGAAAAGGGCCAGAGATCCATCTTTTTCTGGAGGATGTCCAGTGGGCAGGCTTCCAATTCTGCCTGGGGCTGAGCCTCATAACTGCTGGGTGAAGTATTTCATCTAATTTCTATTGTGTGTGACAAATCCATATGACTTGGGACAGAGGTCAAAAGGTCCCCACTGTGGATTATGTTGAAGCCAGAGCCATGTTCACCTCTGGCAAAGGGCACTGGGCTCAGAAGTCACCTCTGATTGGGCTTCTCACTCTTTTTCACTCTTCCTGGTTGACAGAGGTGGACAAGTGTGGGGCAAATGTCCTGCTGGCTATTTCTGCCCACCTGGGACCTCTGGACTGATGACCTCATGTCCTCCACGACAACTGTGTGCTGTGCAGTGCCCACCAGGTAACAGCCTCCACTTCTTGCCCTTAGCTGTGAAAAAGGCAGAGTGTAATTCTGGCCAGCAGCCACCAGAAGACCTAGCCAGGTAAAAGATGAAATTTGGGTCAAGATAAGCTAAAAAAAGAGTTGGCCCTAGGCATTATGTGCATGCAAAAGTATAAAATGCAACATGCATATATAACATGTACTGTGAGTGTGTGCTCAATACAATTCAGATGGTTTCTGACTTGACAAATGCAGGTGGAATCAGGACTGGCTTCCAGATCCCTCAGCTCCAAGCCAGCAGAATCACCTAGGTCACTCCAGACATATGTTGGTCCCTACTTGCTTCAATGGAACAGCCTCCCTGTCTCCCCTCAGACCTAGTGTGACCCCATGTTTCAGGTTTTTACTGCCCAGAGGGAAGTGAAGAGCCCATCCTGTGTCCACCTCATACTGTGACAATTGCCCCTAGAGCCAAGAAGCGAGGTGAATGTGAGCCTTGTCCCCCTGGGCGCTGGTGCAAAGCTGGTAAGACTCCGGTTTAACAACCTGGGCCTCAGTCTGTTCCAGGGGAGGCCCCTGGGACAGAAAGGGAAGGCTGGGAAATGAGTGCAGCCCTTGTTCCCAGAGAACCCAGCCAGCAGTCCTTGCCCTGCTGGCCACTACTGCCCTGGAGGGAGTAAGACCCATCCAGGAGCCCCGAAGGCCTGCCCCAAACATACCTACCTGGCAGTGGAAGGAGGCCAGAGTCAGACAGAGTGCCTTCCCTGCCCAGCTGGGTACCACTGCCCATCCCCAGGTAAGAGGCAATCACCAGCCTAGATCCTGAGGCTTGGGGGAGGAGAGATGAGAGGCTTTGGGTGGTCCCTGAGACATCCTTCCTTTTCTTACACTCTTGCCCCCAGGTCTTACTTCCTTGGAAGGCCACCTGTGTCCTCCAGGTCACTGGTGTCCAGGTGCTCAGGGGGCCTTCCTGTGCCCACCTGGAACCTTTCGGACAGAACCAGGGGCATCATCACTGAAAGACTGTGAGCTCTGTCCCCCTGGATACTACTGCCCCTTGGCTGAACTGAGTACCCAGGCAAATGTGTTTGCGATCCCCTGTAGAGCTGGTTCTGAGTGCCCGGCAGGTGAGAACCCTTGCTCTCCACTCCTTCCAAGCACCAGGATAGGTCCTCAAGTACCTTGTGTCCTCCATGCCCTCGCCCCTGAGGCTCAGAGCAGGTACTCATGCCCTTTGCTTGTATACAGGCATCCTTTGCACACACACCCAGATATCATATGGCCACCTACCACCTCAGCCAGGCTCAGTCCAGTTCCCCCAGGCTCACCTGATCTTTGGTTGCCTCTGTACCACTGGACCTCAAGAAGACTAAGGAGCCCCCTTGGGTCTTCTCCTGCCTCCCTCAGGTGCAGTGGCTGAGGTTGCATGCAGGGCTGGCTCCTATTGTGGGCCTCAGACCGGGATCCCCCCCCCTTGCCCAGGGGGCTATGCGTGCCCTGCAGGCTCCTCCAGTTATGCTGGCCAAGGACAGCTGTGAGTACCCTCACCTCACTGGGTGGACTGAGGCTCTTCTGGGCTCTTCAGATCACAGTCCACCCCTCAGTTCCCCAAAAGACTCCAACCAAACGGTATGCTGGGCACCCCTGTGATCCTCTGCTTGGGCTTCCCTTGCCACATCATTCCCTTTGCCAGCTCTGGGGTCTTGCCAGGGGAAGGAAGGCACAACAACACAGCACTGAGGAGACTTGCTTCATAGGTTTTCAGGGTCATCCTGTGTGGGCAGGGTATACTTAGCACATAAAAAAAAACAAAAAACAAAAACCAAAAAACAAAAATCAGTTACATTTAGATTTCGATTTTTCTAAGTTTTCTTTTATATGTAAATATGTTTACAAAACATCATTCTTTATTTTGTACATTTTTTTCATCTCGGTTGTAATCCCTGTGGACTTCCCACTATAAATACATACTCATTATTTATTCATTGTCAATTACCCATTATTTTTCTGAAATTCAACTGTGATTGGGGATCATGTACTTCATCTGGCACCCCCAATCCTGTGTTTAGGATTGACAGTCCCAGGACTCTCCCCCGAGCCAATCTTTCCATATGTCCCATTGTCAAGTTTGAGGTGGCAGTGGCCATGCGTCTTGTCACTGTGCAAGCTGGCCACCTACAAGGTCCGGCCTCCTCCAGAAAGACACCTTGGCCTTCTCAGTTACCATCAGATACAAGGTCCCCTTGTGTCCTTGTCTGTGATAATACCTTTTCCCCTGCCATTTTAGGGCCTGTCTGGGGAATGTTAGGGGCCCTGCTAGTGTGAAGAGCTAGAATGTTTACAGACTCCATGACACGAAACCAGGGTCTGGGGGCATTTACCTCTACAGCTGTGTGTTTCCCTATTACTGCCCCCCGGGCAGTCCCCACCCACACGCATGTCCAGGGGGCTCTGAGGCCTTGAACATAAGTGGACTCAGGGTCTCCAAGGAGACTTGCTGCCGCCTCTGTGAAGCTGGGACATACCGCAGCCAGACCCTGGATGCCAGCCCCTGCCATCCCTGCCCCCCAGGATTTAGCTGCCACCAAGGTGAGTTGGGAAAGTTGAGAAAGAGCAAGAGAGGGCATGGACCTCACATCATGCCCACCTCATGGACTGTGGGGGTGGGGGAGAAATGGGGGGCAAGGGAGAAGTGGAAGAGATCCTTAGGAATGGGCAAGAGAAAGGCCCTCAGAACTTGGAGGACACAGGGTTGGAGGATTCAGAGCTGGCTAAGTAGCATATGTGTCCTGAGTTTAGTTTTAAAAACCTATAAAGTGTAGAGTGTGCACAACATCATGCAAACTGGCACACTGGAGCCAGAAGCTAGGCATCCTCAAAAATAAGAGAACTATATCCCATTGTGCCAGTAATGCCAAGCACACTATCCTGAATCTGCAAAGAAAGATAGAAGCATGCTCTGTGGTGCCAGAAGGCCAAGGAGGGCTTGTGGGGCACTATAGGGTAAGGCCCACAGTCCTACCTACAATCTAAATTCATGCCTATGTTTGCTTTGCTGCTAACTCTCTCCAGCAAGCTCATTCTTCCCCTAGGCTCTCCTATTCCTCAGCCCCTGCCTCAACCAGAGTTCATGGCTCAGAATTTCCCTTCTGTTTCCCTTCAGGAACAGAGAGTTACCATCACAAGCCCTGCCCTGCTGGGCACTACTGTCCTGCAGGAACTTGGAACCCCAAGCCCTGCCCACCAGGAACCTTCAGAAATAACAGTGGGGCAGGGACTGCTGGACAGTGTCTGCCTTGTCCTGCTGACACCTTCAGTGGCCCCCCAGGCCAGGCAGGCTGCCTCCCCTGTGGCAACTCTGCCTTTTCTCCACCTGGTGAGTCCTGACCTCCAAATATTGACTACAAATACACCACTCCTCTCTCCTGCAGCCTGACCAGTGTCAAGCTTCACAAAACCACTTGAACTGCTGGACAGGGCCCTCCCTGGTGGCGCAGTGGGTTAAATCACAGCACTAAGAAGCTAAAGCCACTTTTGCATGAGTTCGAACCCCGCCAGTGTCAAGCTTCACAAAACCACTTGAACGCTGACGGCTGTTCTAAGAATGCTGCAATCTGGGAATGAATAGACATCCCTGACTCCCATCACTCTAGTTGGGGGCATGTGTGAATGAATGAGTCTGTGCAATTGCTTCCATAAGTGAAAAGAGGGGAGAAGAGGAGGGAGCAAGGGGAGAGGAGGAAAGAGGAAAAGGCATTAAACCAGCAGAGAGCAACTTGTTCTTGGTGTCTGGCCAGTGGGAGAGCCAGGCTTTAGCTCCAATTGTCCAACACATTCTTTTTTTCTTTTTTTTTTTTAAAGATTTATTTATTTATGCATACAGAATTGGGGTATAGGCCAGAGGTGCAGGGGCAGCAAGAGGATTCACCAGAGACAGAGTGGGGAGCAGAACAGGCAGATGGACGAAGTACACTGCTGAGGGGAGCAGCGGGTGGGTTAGGAGAGGTCTGCCTCACCCTGTGGATCCCCTCCAGGGCTGACGGGGTTCGAACTCATGCAAAAGTGGCTTTAGCTTCTTAGTGCTGTGATTTAACCCGCTGCGCCACCAAGGAGGTCCCTGTTAGCATATTCTTATACTGCTTTGGCAAGCTCCTACAGCAACAGCATGTTCACTCAGGTTTCCCTGACTGTCCTCAGTCAGAGAATCTCTGCAGCATAATCAGGTACTGAATTGCAAGATCAATTCAACTACCACCACCACCTACCTGCTGATTCCATTTACCTCCCCTCATTTTAAAGAAATGGTCTTCACATAGCTTTTGTTGTGGGAACCATTTGTACAAGGTCTACTAATAAGCAGACATAACAAGAAGTAACCAGATGATCCCATGGTAGGAAATTTAAAAGTTATATACATCATAGATGTTTAGCCCTCTAATGAGGACCAAACAGATCTCCACTGGCAGTGAGCAGACTTTTCTCTAGAATCTCAACAGGAGCACTGACCACATGCCAGCACTTCTCTAGTGCTGTCAAAATAGCAATTCTGTGACCCAGACATGAATACCATCACTCTTGTTTTAATTTCTATAAACTGAACCAAAGAGGATTTCTATACCTTGTTTGCATACAGGTAATGGCAGAAATGGATTTTGAATCCAGTGTAACTGACTTCTATAAATATCACCCTAGCCTAATCAATGTGATTTTATAATAAGTCTTTTATAATAAGTCTTAAGTCTAGGTCTTCCAACTTTGTTCTTCTTTTCAAGATTATATCAGCATTTCATGGCACTACAATTTCCATATAATCAGGTCATCACATTCACATAGAAACTTGCTGGGATTTCTATTGGATTGCCTAAAATCAGTAGATTCTTCTTCTCCTTCTCCTTCTTCTTCTCCTTCTTCTTCGTTTGTTTGAAATAGTATTGGTTTACAATGTTGTCTTGTGTTTTATAGATATTTCTTGTTTTGTGTTGTGTTTAGGATATCTACCTCAGGATATCTACCTCCAGTGTTGTCACCAAAGCATACTCACCACTAAAGCACCCATTGTGCACCACCATAGTATTTTGTTCTATCTCCCCTTTTTATTCTTGTGCCCCCTTCCCTGCCAGAATCCTTAGTTCTACAGTCAGATTTTTAGGAATTTTTATTAGTTTGTTTTTAACTGACTTTCACTTTTGCTTCTCTATATTCCATATATGAGTGATGCCATCTGGTATTTGTCTTTCTCTTGACTTACTTCACTTAGCATAACCCCTCCCAGCTCCATGTTGTGCAAATGGCAAGAGTTTAAAATTTTTTAAGTAGTGTTCTATTGTGTGTATATATATTCATCTTCATGATCTATTCATTTGTCTTTGGGCACTTAGGCTGCATCCATAGTGTGGGTATTATAAATAGTGCTGCAATGAACATAGGAGTACAGATTTCCTTTTGGATTAGTGCTTTTGTATTCTTCAGGTAGATACCTAGGAGTGGAATTACTGAGCCGTATGGTAGGTCTATTCTTAATATTTTGAGAAAACTCCACAGT